TTTTTTTAACCTTGGCCAGATCTGTGCCTTGCCACAGTTCTGTCTCTGAGCTCTTCAGGCAGTTCTTTTGACCTCATGATTCTCATTTGCTCTGACATGCACTGTGAGCGGTAATGTCTTATATAGACAGGTGTGTGGCTTTTCTAATCAAGTCCAATCAGTATAATCAAACACAGCTGGACTCAAATGAAGGAGTAGAACCCTCTCAAGGATGATCAGAAGAAATGGACAGCACCTGAGTTAAATATATGAGTGTCACAGCAAAGGGTCTGAATACTTAGGACCATGTGATATTTCAGTTTTTCTTTTTTAATAAATCTGCAAAAATGTCAACAATTCTGTGCTTTTCTGTCAATATGGGGTGCTGTGTGTACATTAATGAGGAAAAAAAATTTACTTAAATGATTTTAGCAAATGGCTGCAATATAACAAAGAGTGAAAAATTTAAGGGGGTCTGAATACTTTCCGTACCCACTGTATATATATATACATACTTTTTTTCTATTTAAAAATGTTTATCATTACTCTTAATAGTGAGTAGAAAAACATCAGTAAGGCTTTAGCACAATGACAAATAAAATATAATTTAATTTTGAAAACAATTTATGGTGACACCATAATATCACACACCCACAAACTGGTCTTTAAAAATGTATAGCTGTTTTTGTTTTGGGAAGAGGTCTTCGGCAAAAACCCAAAAATGAAAATTTCTTATGTAGCCTATTACAATCATCTTACAAATTCAATGAATTATATTTTTAATTTATACTCTTTACAGCTGATTATCATGCCTTGTGATTATTGATTGATTATTGCTTGTGATTATTGCTTATTGATTAATTTATGTGCTTAATTGTTCCTACAGTACTTAACTTGTATTCATATTTTCTTACAGAATAACCATAATAAATTATTTCTGTGTGCAGAATTTATAGAATAGAGGGACATTGTCTCCATTGCAAGTGAAACTATTTTCCATAATCTTGCAGACAAAGTGCCCTTATCCAGGGCCAGAGAAATGTCATAAGGCCTCAGCGTCTCACAGGTGACTGCTGTATCTTAACTGAAAGAGAGCCTTCAGTCTGCATGTTGTCCGTTTGATAATCCTCTGATACAGCCTCACTAAGCTCAATATCAGTTCATACTCAAACTGGGCAGTATGCCTGGGAAAATTGTCTCCTGAAGAAAGAGGTACTTGGCTGAGCTACGATACGGTTCACCTTCCAATAAGCCTTTGAAACGTGCTTCATTTTCTTCGCACTGTGCCGCTGTGGGATGTTTAATAAATCAGCTTGGTTTTAATACTTGTTAATGTGCTCAGCTAGGCAGCTAGATCTTAGTTGGTGCATTTGTAATGCGCCACAGTATTCACACTCCTGTGAAAGCTTAACAAGAGATAAACCATCTAATTTATATGAGGCTCCCTTACATCTTCTATGTCAATCAGCTTCAATGTTTTTAATGACTCTTCAGCAATCTAGGGCAAAGATAAAAATAATAAATGAGTTCTATATTTTTAGGCAGAGCTGTTTAGGCACACTTGAGATTGGTCAAGGCCAATGTTGTCATGTCATGGGTGGTAAAGAAGAAGGTGAGCGTGATTTGACCAAGTACAACATGTTCCTGGATCAACATCCTTGTTGATCCTGGAACATCACTCCAATCAACCAATCAGAATTGAGAGATAACTTTTCAGGAAATGTCAGTTTTAGACTTACAATCAGGATTAGGTGCTTCCAAACCCTTGTTAATCAGCTATAATTTTAGGAATAAATTATGGGTAAGGTTAGGTTTAAGGGTGGGGATTGGGTTAAGTCTGTATTTTTGAACAGTAATGTTGATCCAGGATCAACAAAAGATGTCTTACTTGGCAAAATCACGGCGACCAAAAAAGAAGGCCAATGGAGGACATGATGATGCTGTTTTATTGATTACTATAAATCAATCTTACAACATAACTTCTATTTCAAAACATTTTTGGACACATATTGTGAATTGAACTACACTATTGCTTCTGCATATGCTCACATTAAAAGAGCAGCACCCATGTTCAGCAGGGTGTGTAAAAACTACAAGATAGCAAGCAGGTTTTTACACAAACTGCTTAAAATAAAAAGAGTTGCACTATTTTTATGTCATTCTCAAATTCACATTTAAAATTGCAATGCAAACTTTTTGTGGTCCCACTTTATATGAAGTGGCCTTAAATACTATGTACTTACATCAAAAAATAAGTACAATGTACTTATTGTGTTCATATTGTAATGCAAAACACTTTTGCTGCTACTGAGGTGGGATATGGATACAATTAGGGACAGGTTTGGTGGTATGGGTAGGTTTAAGGGTGGGTTAAGGTGTAAGGGATGGGTCAACAGTGTAATTATAAATGTAATTACAGAAATTGGAGGATGTCAATAGAAAATGAAACCACCAAAGACATCCACAAGCAGGACTCAGGATCAAGTTGCACTCATTTTGGCCCCTATTTCTTTTTATATTTCTGAACTTGAAAGAGATGAATTCGTTAGCAAACTCTGTGTTCTCAAGGTGCTCAAATACACACTTTGTCTTTTTTCATTGTGCATTATTAAATTCATTGTGCTTTTCTCTATTTGAAAAGGGGGCAACAAACTGAAACCACAACCATTCCGTCTGAATTGGGCCTGGATATCTCTAGAAAGGGAATACTACATTGTGGATGAGGATGCAAAGTTTCTGGAGGTCACCCTCAAACGCCGGGGATACTTGGGAGAGACATCATTTGTCAGTTAGTATTTATCAAAGTGGTGTTTAGTTTTTTTACAGCCCTTTAACTGTGACTTACAATGTCTTAAATTGTACCACAGCTTTTTACTGTTCCTTAAAGTATATAGTTAGCAGTAGTCAGCAGATATTATAAACTGTTCACTCAGTTTGAGATATGTTTATAGTTTAAGGTCTAAAAAATGTTTTCTTTTTCAAAGGTATTGCCACCAAAGATGGTACAGCAAAACAGGACAAAGACTTCCGCGGCAAAGCTCAGAAACAGGTCCAGTTTAACCCTGGCCAGACATCCGCCACCTGGAGGGTGAAGATATTCACTTAGTAAGGTAGTTGTTGAGTTTAGGTATTGGGTAGGATTAGGGATGTAGAATATGGTCATGCAAAATATGTGCTTTATAAGTACTAATAAACAGCCAATATGCTAGTAATATGCATGCTTATAAGCATCTAGTTAATAATGAGAATTGGTCCCTATACTAAAGTGTTACCATAAGGAAGTTTTTTTTTCAGAAGCTATGAGTGTTAGCTTTAATTATTGTGGGTTCAGGTCTTCTCAACATTTTTTTTTTTTTTTGGAATATAAAAGGCTGTTGGTAACTTGAATAAGTGTGACTGTGACCATTACTTAGCCCTGCATTCTTTCTATATATTATTGCAGTCATAAATACCTCAAGAGCTTCAGACATCCCTCTGGACGCCTGAACCCATTAAATGAGTTAGCACCACTCAGTGATGCTGATACTTACTGGGCTTTACTGCCGCTCTAGCTTATATCAGAAACCCTTAAATGAAATACTTTGTAACACCACAAAACAGCCATTGCACTGCTCCAATTCTCATGACATATACTGAACTAAAAACAACATTCTGAGAAAACAGTCTGAAACACTCATTAGAAAACATTCTGCCTTCAAGACAGACACTTTTGTGTTGTTTGTTCATTGTAGACACAAATCCCCCTAGAGTGTAGAAAGAAGCAGAAAGAACCATGACAGTGGGTTTGGGCCACCCAGACGGTGCCTGCTGTCTGCCTCAGTTGTTGCTCTCATGCACAGATAAAAGCTGACAAAAGGGGTGAACAAGGGAGGGGATAAATGCAGGGAGTGAGGATACAGCTGTCAGTTCCCACTCTTGGAATCTGAAAACCACTAAGAAATGGTGTGAGAAAGAGAAGAAAAAGTGCACAGTCAGAAAACTGAGGTGGGCTCCACAGTCACTGTTAAACAGCACCTGCCTTCCAAACATAGCAATAAAACTATTTAGGAAATTGCCCCAAGTGACTGTCAACTCTGATGGCTAAATTCACTCTGGAAATAACAGTACATTAGTGATAGTGGATCAAAACATCAGTTGCAAATGCATCTGTTTAGACTGCACGGTATAAGCTCTGTTCCAAAACCCAGTAAACTACAGAGGCAGTGACTAATACAACGCAATACAGTTAAGAAAGTGTAATTTTTTTTACGAAAGTTTGGAAAATCACAAAAAGATTTTACCAAGTAACTTTTTAGGGCTGTGAACATTAACTCCAAAGATATAATTAAATGTCTCATGCATAACTAACGAATTTGATATTAACTTTTTTTTTCATTATTGCTTTCTAAAGAGACAATGTTTAATGACTAGAATGATATTAATTGTGAAATATGATTTTTTTTTAATGTTCATCTTTACTCTAATAGAGGGTAAAAAAACATAAATATGGCTTTAGCACAATAACAAATAAAATATCATTTAATTTCTTTAATTTATTAAACAATTAATATAATTTGATCATTTATTAAACAATTTATATTAACTTTATAATATCACATACTCACAAACTGGTCTTTAAAAATGTATAGCTGTCTTTATTTTGGGATGAGGTCTTTGGCAAAACCTCCAAAATGAAAACCCCTTAAGTACTATTACAATCATCTAATAAATTGGGTCAATTATATTCCTAATATATACTCACTCTTTACAGAGTATTGTGCTTTGTGATTGTATTATTATTTTGTGTTTAATTGTTCTTACAGTACCTATTAACATTTGTTCATATTTTTATATAGGATAATCATGACAAATTATTTATATGCATGGAATTTAAAGAATAGAGGGACATTGTCTCCATTGCAAGTGAAACTATTTTCCATAATCTTGCAGACAAAGTGCCCTTATCCAGGGCCAGAGAAATGTCATAAGGCCTCAGCGTCTCACAGGTGACTGCTGTATCTTAACTGAAAGAGAGCCTTCAGTCTGCATGTTGTCCGTTTGATAATCCTCTGATACAGCCTCACTAAGCTCAATATCAGTTCATACTCAAACTGGGCAGTATGCCTGGGAAAATTGTCTCCTGAAGAAAGAGGTACTTGGCTGAGCTACGATACGGTTCACCTTCCAATAAGCCTTTGAAACGTGCTTCATTTTCTTCGCACTGTGCCGCTGTGGGATGTTTAATAAATCAGCTTGGTTTTAATACTTGTTAATGTGCTCAGCTAGGCAGCTAGATCTTAGTTGGTGCATTTGTAATGCGCCACAGTATTCACACTCCTGTGAAAGCTTAACAAGAGATAAACCATCTAATTTATATGAGGCTCCCTTACATCTTCTATGTCAATCAGCTTCAATGTTTTTAATGACTCTTCAGCAATCTAGGGCAAAGATAAAAATAATAAATGAGTTCTATATTTTTAGGCAGAGCTGTTTAGGCACACTTGAGATTGGTCAAGGCCAATGTTGTCATGTCATGGGTGGTAAAGAAGAAGGTGAGCGTGATTTGACCAAGTACAACATGTTCCTGGATCAACATCCTTGTTGATCCTGGAACATCACTCCAATCAACCAATCAGAATTGAGAGATAACTTTTCAGGAAATGTCAGTTTTAGACTTACAATCAGGATTAGGTGCTTCCAAACCCTTGTTAATCAGCTATAATTTTAGGAATAAATTATGGGTAAGGTTAGGTTTAAGGGTGGGGATTGGGTTAAGTCTGTATTTTTGAACAGTAATGTTGATCCAGGATCAACAAAAGATGTCTTACTTGGCAAAATCACGGCGACCAAAAAAGAAGGCCAATGGAGGACATGATGATGCTGTTTTATTGATTACTATAAATCAATCTTACAACATAACTTCTATTTCAAAACATTTTTGGACACATATTGTGAATTGAACTACACTATTGCTTCTGCATATGCTCACATTAAAAGAGCAGCACCCATGTTCAGCAGGGTGTGTAAAAACTACAAGATAGCAAGCAGGTTTTTACACAAACTGCTTAAAATAAAAAGAGTTGCACTATTTTTATGTCATTCTCAAATTCACATTTAAAATTGCAATGCAAAATTTTGTGGTCCACCTTTATATGAAGTGGCCTTAAATACTATGTACTTACATCAAAAAATAAGTACAATGTACTTATTGTGTTCATATTGTAATGCAAAACACTTTTGCTGCTACTGAGGTGGGATATGGATACAATTAGGGACAGGTTTGGTGGTATGGGTAGGTTTAAGGGAGGGTTAAGGTGTAAGGGATGGGTCAACAGTGTAATTATAAATGTAATTACAGAAATTGGAGGATGTCAATAGAAAATGAAACCACCAAAGACATCCACAAGCAGGACTCAGGATCAAGTTGCACTCATTTTGGCCCCTATTTCTTTTTATATTTCTGAACTTGAAAGAGATGAATTCGTTAGCAAACTCTGTGTTCTCAAGGTGCTCAAATACACACTTTGTCTTTTTTCATTGTGCATCATTAAATTCATTGTGCTTTTCTCTATTTGAAAAGGGGGCAACAAACTGAAACCACAACCATTCCGTCTGAATTGGGCCTGGATATCTCTAGAAAGGGAATACTACATTGTGGATGAGGATGCAAAGTTTCTGGAGGTCACCCTCAAACGCCGGGGATACTTGGGAGAGACATCATTTGTCAGTTAGTATTTATCAAAGTGGTGTTTAGTTTTTTTACAGCCCTTTAACTGTGACTTACAATGTCTTAAATTGTACCACAGCTTTTTACTGTTCCTTAAAGTATATAGTTAGCAGTAGTCAGCAGATATTATAAACTGTTCACTCAGTTTGAGATATGTTTATAGTTTAAGGTCTAAAAAATGTTTTCTTTTTCAAAGGTATTGCCACCAAAGATGGTACAGCAAAACAGGACAAAGACTTCCGCGGCAAAGCTCAGAAACAGGTCCAGTTTAACCCTGGCCAGACATCCGCCACCTGGAGGGTGAAGATATTCACCGACCAAGAGTTTGAAACTTCAGAGATGTTTGAAATCCAGCTTTCAGAGCCAGTGATGGCTGTTCTTGAATACCCTGATATAGCCACTGTGGAGATTGTAGATCCTGGTGATGGTAATTGTGCCATGCTTAATGACTTCCTACTTTGTCTACGTACTGTAAAACACATATTATTACCAGAGTGCGTGCACCACAATGGAATACGTATAGTCTTCTCAGAAGAGTGGAAGCAGGACCAGCTCCCTATTAATGCCAGTGGTTTTGAAATGAAATGTTCAGCAAACACAAATGTACTTTTTTGCATACTTTTGGCTACCTAAGCTTAAATGAATATTTATGTAAACATCTTATTATTATTTATGTTCACTTTTAAGCATGATCATTTCTCTCTTTTCAGAGTCCACAGTGTTCTTCCCTCAAGCAGAATATCGTATAGAAGAGGATATAGGAGAAATATTACTCTGACTTGTCTATGGAGGTGTCACTACTCTCTTTTTCTTTGTATGGCCCCTCAAACTTACGGCCTCTTCCCCCACCCTGGAAAGCCCTCTGCCATCTGCATTAATTTATCATGATCTTATGCTGATATCGCTCTGGAAGCCTCTCAGACCTCACAAACACACACACACACACACACACACACACAAACATAAAAAAAACTTGTCAAGTGCATCTTGACTGGAGTAGACTCAATGGTCTGGTTTCATCACTCAGACAGGACATTGGAAATGAAGGTAGGTTTCCTGTGCTGTCATGGGGGTGATGGCAGATCCAGATCTTTGTCTGAAGCACTAATGGGTTAAAACATATCTGTGTAAGATGAAACACTACCTAACAATTCTAAAAACAATGGCTTAAAATGTTGTTATAGCTGTTGGAAAGGACACCTCTTGGCTTCTGTGTTGCTGAAGGTACTGCAGGGCCCGAAATTTATTAAAAAACTTGGATTCCAAATCTCATTTCAAATTTTTTTATTAATTACAAAAGCAAAACTCTGACCATGTTGAACTTTGGACAAAATTTCAAATGTTTTTGCGTTCATTGATGCACAAGATGTTCTTTGGAACATTATCAAATCATGCTGGATGACATGGATCATGAGGTTTTATGCCAACTTGTGGAGTTTATGTCAGCTTGACATAAACTATCAAATGCTAAAATTCCTTCATACCTCTTGGCTTCTGTGTTGCTGAAGGTACTGCAGGGCCCGAAATTTATTAAAAAACTTGGATTCCAAATCTCATTTCAAATTTTTTTATTAATTACAAAAGCAAAACTCTGACCATGTTGAACTTTGGACAAAATTTCAAATGTTTTTGCGTTCACTGATGCACAAGATGTTCTTTGGAACATTATCAAATCATGCTGGATGACATGGATCATGAGGTTTTATGCCAACTTGTGGAGTTTATGTCAGCTTGACATAAACTATCAAATGCTAAAATTCCTTCAAACTCAAATAGATTGTTCAGGATACAGAAAATGATAAGAAGAAAAAAAAACTTGATTGAAAGTTGACTGATCTTTCCCCTTGGTACAGAGCCATCTTTCTATTTTGGAGAGACTGAATACATGGGGGATGAGAGTGATGGTTATGTGGAGGTGAAAGTGTGGAGAACTGGAACTGACCTTTCAAAGACAGCCACCGTCACAGTCCGTTCCAGGAAGAGTGACCCTGTTTCAGCAGAAGGTAAAGAATGTCAGAGTTGTCAAAAACAACAATAGCCGATATCAGATTTAAAAAATAATAATAATAATAATAGTAGAATTTTTTTTTACATATGATCACC